TGCTGAAGTTTTGGCATACATGTTTCTAGTCTCAATATTATATATCTATGTATCATCCCTAAATAACCTGGGCTCATAGGGCTTGTTAGATTCTACGAGTATATTCAGTTAATTGTGAATTTCCCTCATGTCATTAAATATATATCTCCATTTTAAATTTTAAGAATGAATATACATACACACACACACAGTAGGAGAAAAAGCAAGTTAACTATTATGAGTAGGCAAAACAGTTTATTCTCGTATTATGTATTAGTTATTATATTATTTTCCATACAAACAACTGTACACCTACTATTGCCCCACCATTTATTATATATACATATATATATATATATAATCACCATTTATTTACCCACTCCCCTATTGTTGGATATTAAGGATGTATTTAACTTTTCACTATTGTAAGTAGTTATATGAGGAACATACTTGGCTATATATGTTAATTAGTACAAATTTCTAGAAGTGCTATTTAAGGGTAGGTATATATTTTTAAAGTTTTGGCTATATATATGTTTTTTACTGGTTTCTTTTTTTTTACTTATTATTTCAAAATAATTAGACTCACAAGAAGTTGCAAAAATGACCCTTGTGCCTTTCACCAATCTTTCCCCAATAACAACATCTTATTAACTATAATGCCTCATAAAAACTAGGAAATTGACACTGGTACAGTATAATAACCAGACTACAAAGTTACTTGGGTGTGACCAGCTAAATTATGTTTTAATATTAATGGAATGGTAAGATCAGTTCTTACTTTTCTACTTTCTCCTCTCACACAGCTGCCTAAACTCCCTTTTAATTTTCCATACTGGAAAAAATACAACTACATTTCTTAGACTACTGTTTTTTATTGAATATCAAAAGGAAGAAATGCAAGGAAGAATCTCTCACCAGATGTAGAGGTCGTGCACCACTGTTTGCAAAGCAGAAAATGAGTAGGTTCTTCCCTCCTTTTGGTTCTTTGCAGTCACCCCAGTTCCTTTATGACACACCAGGACAGGTTCCCAGAGCCTGGGTTACCCCAACACAGAACGAAGAATACAGAATCACCCAAGGAGAAAGTTACTCATTTCTCCTTCCCTCCTCTGACTATATCAAGCCTCAGCTTAGGACTAGTCTTCAATTGCCCCTTGAACATCTGCTAATCTTCCCTTTTTAACAAATTGCTCAGGCCTCAAGTTCAGATATAGGCAGGCTATAGCATTTAACTGGGTTTCGATGATATTTTATTGTTTTTATTAAATATGCATTTACTTTTTCCTTCAAATTGCAGCAAATGAAGCTAGTTTTCTATTTACAGGCATACATCTGCTTAGACACAATTTTTTTAAGAACATAATTGACTCACTTATAAAATGATTCGAAATAATTTATTAAGCATCAACCACTCACCAGTCACGGTGTTAGATAGGAGAACAGAGCAATGGTAAGACACATAAATACCTTGCTTTCTTGGAGCTTACAGTCTATTTGGGGGAATGAGGCATAAAAGAAATTATTCTAACCTAATTACTGAGTTACAATTGTGATAACTTGTTATGAAGAAGGGTAGGATGATCAACTTTCTAGTCATGAGAATCGGGGAAGGTTTCCCTGAGGAAATGGCACATGAGCAAAAACTTGGCGGGGGAGGGGGTGACGAAAACAAAGGCATGATGCGGGGAGTGACTAGCAAGAGAGGAGGAGGAAGAGTGTAGCCAGAAAGTATATTGCACACGGAAAGAAGAGCATGAACAGTTACCCTATGGCAGAAAAACTTAAACTGTCCTGAGTAAAGAGACCAAGCCAGTGGGACGGGGGGGGGGGGGGGGGGGGCATGCGCAGTAAATCAAGACAGGAGAGGTGGGCAGGAGCCCGATTGTGTTAGGCCTGTTAGGCGAGAACAGGATTTTATCCTGTAAGCCAATGGGAACCTACTGTGGGGTTTTGAACAGGGAAACAATATGATCAGATTTTCTTCTTTTTTTTTTTAAGATTTTATTTATTTATTTATTTATTTTTAGGGAAAGGGGAAGGGAGGAATTAAGAGATGGAGAGAAACATCAATGTGTGTTTGCCCCTCACGTGACCCCTACTGGGGACCTGGCCTGCAACCCAGGCATGTGCCCTGAATGGGAATAGAACCAGCATCTCTTTGGTTCGCAGGCTGATGCTCAATCCACTGAGCCACACCAGCCAGGGCATCTTTTCTTTTCTTTTCTTTCTTTCTTTCTTTTTTTTTTTTTTTTTTTTACATAAATCAAGATATACTTGCAAATACAAGTAGCAGAAGCTCATAAATGTCACACAGGTATTTCTTTAAAGTACAGTGTATAATCACTACATAACAGTGCAAATATAAACAGCAGTGCTGATGGGGTGGGAGCAGTGGGGTGGGGGGCTGAGCCTGGAGTCTGGGAAGGCATATGCGTAAGTCACCTTTCTGTTTGTTTTTGAGGACTAGATGTTCATCTGATTTGACGCCAAGGTAGCATTTTGGTAAGCCAGGATGAAATCCCCATTTAAAACTTTGCCCCTTCTTCAGAAGCTTCAAAAGAAAATTTCTCCTCAAGTTTCCACCGAGACTAACCTCATATGTGGGTGGGAATAGGGACCACCTACAAGGTGTGATTTGAGAAGAGCTGAAAGACCACTCCCGTTCAAGTGTAAACTGTCCTGCCCTCCACTGTTGCCTAAGGTTCTACCACCGCAATGCTGTTCCACTGAATCTTCCTGCAATAGCCAAGAATGCAAGCAGAGGGCAGACCACTGGATCTACCCTGCCTTGCTGGGGCAGAACTGGATTTTTTTTTTTTTAATTTTTTTTTTTTTTTTTTTTGGTATTTCCTTAGGATTGGGAGGGTTTGAAGCTTTTTGAGGCGACTAACCACATAGGTTGTGCAGAGGCGACGAGACTGGACCGCTTACAGAAAGTGAGAATCAAAGGAGCCCAAGTTCCTTCGACTTCTTCACTTTGTTTCGGGCTGGCCCTGCGATCAGCTGGCATATACGATGTGGATATAGGTATAAACGTGTGTGGGTTTATACAGCAAAGGTATATGGGTAGACTTATGACATATACATGGCTTTATAACATGGGAAGCAATCACGGGAAGAACCACAGGTCCTGCGATTGGACCAACCTGGGTTCAGATCACAAGCTTTTAACCCTAGGAAACATACAGCCCCTACCTTTGGGGGTGGTTAGGAGGATTTAGGGATAATCTGTTTAAAGCCTTGCCACAGGTCCATAGCATATAGCAAGTGCTTCATAAATATTACTGCTAAGATTGCATGTGTGTGTTTGCCCTTATGCAAGCATGTGTGTGCGTGTATGTGCCCATAGGTGCAGATTTGGCCACCTAAGGGAGGGTGTTTAAGAACAAGAGAGGAAAGGAGGGAAATCTTTGCCCACCTGAGGGAGAGACAGCCAAGGGCCTCAAACTGCAAGGGCTTCCTGAGAAGCATGGAATCTAAAATCAGGGAAGGAGACAGGCAACAGAATGGGATGCAATATTGCTGAAGCTTTAAAAACAAAAAAACAAAAAAAAAACAACCCTCCACAAAAGGGAGGTTAAAAAAAGGAGTTGAAAATGGTCTCTAAAGTTGAAATGTATCCAACTGAGACCTGATTTGCTCCATCCTAAAGCTCTCCCCTGTCTTGAGCCTCAGGCGTGTTTCCTTTCTCAAAGCTGATACAGAAGAACTTTGAAAAATGTGAACCACCACAAACTTTACCCAGGCCTCTTGTTCCCCTCTTAAGATTTGCCCAAGGAGGTGTATCTGAGTGCTTTCTGCGTAATAAATATATGCCATCCTTATGTTGAGAGAGAAGACACAGTTTAAAAAAACAAATACCACCACCACCACCACCACCCAGTTTCTAGTTCCAGTTCTGCCCTTAACTCACTGGGCAACTTCAAGGAATCTCTTAATCTCTCTGGGCACAAGTGCCACATCTGTGAAAGTTGATTGGTCAATTTGGGTCATATCTTTTGACTTCCTGCCATATCCGAGGAGGTTTAGCTCCCTTCAAACATCTCTCCTCCCCTTAAAGCTATATCACCATAGGACACGAGCCCAGACCGCCTGCCTCCTGCTCGCTGTGACTCCTGGGATGAGTTATTTAATCTCTGTGCATCTCAGTTTCCTCCCTTGTAAAATGAGGGTAAAGAAGAGAGCAGTGTATCATCCAGCTGCTAAAAGGATGAAATGAGTTAATACAGGTGAAATGTTTAGAACAGTGCTTGGCACAGATGAGGGCTACTCTGGTTTTAAGTAATATTGTTATTTACTTTATTAAATAATCTTTGTAACTTTACATGAAATATAGTATCAATAAATCAAGATATAGAAGTACAAGCATTATATGTGGCTGCGAAAAGTCTACAGGCAGAGAGCAGGCAGAGAACTGGGGCCATTGCTTTTTGGTTTTGTTTATTTTTTAAAGCTCTTTTGTGATTTTTCAAGGATGGGTATGTACTACCACGACACTATTTTTTTTTTTTTTAGTTTAAAAAGATGGAATAAAAAGATTACTAAAGTCCCTCTCAAATCTCTAAGTTCAAGGATTGCCTATGATTTTTAAGGAGCAGTGGTTTACAGGTGGCCAGCTTATCTTTGTTATCACAGCTACCATTAATGTGGTTGACCTTTTCAAGGAATCCTTATAAAGTTTTAAAATAAACACAGTCACCTTCACATGTTTATAGCTCAACATGTTTCAACCTGTTGGATAGGAGAGAAATTGAGAAAGGCGAACATATAAACTGTAAATACTTGGCCTTCGGGGCTGACTTATATTTTACCCTTTATAATCTTTTCCCAGAAATCAACACAGTTACGTAAAGGAAAGATCAGCAGCAGAGAGTGAACTCAAAGAACACCGCTGCTGGCCACCCAGCGGTGAAAGGGTTAACAGGGCTGGGTAAGGCGATCCCTTGAAATGAGTAAGACTCCTCGGAGTTGTTAAAGTTTTCAAAGCAGCCGGCGGCCGCCGTGCTGCTCTCGGAGTACGGGGAGCAAGTCGGAGGGAGCCTGGCCAAGCAGAGGGTCGCGCTGAGCTGGGGTTACAAGCTCAAGGTTAGTGGCCCACCCCACCCCTCGCACACCCCACCCCTCCGCACATCTTCCCAGCTCTGACACCTTGGCAGAGTTGCATCAGGAAAGCGAGGCGCCATCTCTCACCCCAGCTCGCCAGGTCTGCTTCGCTTCCCAGTGGGGCCGCCCACCCTCCTGCCGAACCTCCCCGGCTGCCGCCTTCACCCGGCCTCGGCGCTTGTGGGGGACAGCTGAGCTATTCCCGGGAGACTTTTCTAAACCGAACACTTCTTTTCACACATCCGAAAAGAAACTTTCTGGAACATGGACACATACACACACACACACACACACACACACACACACACACACACACACACACGAACAGGGACGGACACACACGAACAGGGACGGACACACACGAACAGGGACAGATGGACACACACACACACACACACACACACACACTGCCTACTCCCTCCGCCTTGGTAAATGCACAATCTAGAATTCCTATCTGCTTCAGTTGAAAATGAAAACAATGGCAAAGTAACTAAACAGGCAGCTTGACTTCATCTGGTGGGAGGAAGATCGTCTCTGAGGCTATTGTCTCTGTCTTTGAAAATGGGTTTCTCTAGAAGCTTTTCTTGCACCTTGCTGGAACAAAATGGAGGGGGGAGCTGCATCGTGAAGGAATTATTTCTACAGCTGCATGAGATTCAGATAAACTTATCCTTGTCAGCCTATCTGCATGTGCTGCAAATGATAAACTTCGACCTGGTGAGGGAGGGCTAGATAGTAGCAGGGCTTCTCAGAAATCACATTCTGAGGGCGCTTTGATTTAAGAATTGAAACTGACCGTCTTGAGGGGTAGAGGACCCCCTTGGAGCCCTGGCTGGGAGGCGGAGGGGTTATGCCACCCCAACAGGCCCGATTTGCCTCCCTGCTCTGGCCTTGCTCACGGAGAGGCAATGAATAAGTCCCCGCTGCTGCCTGCTCCGTGGGATCCTCCAGCAAGCAGGATCAGGACTTCTACCTGCTAGCACTGAATCAGAATGAGTCATCTGAAACTTGGGTGCTGGCACAAAGTCCTTGCGAACTGCTTTATGAGACACTGCCTCCCTGTAGGTGGATATCTTTCTCAGAGCAGTCACATTTTTTTTTTTTTTTCGCCCTCTCTTCCTTTCACCTTCAAACAGGCAGGAATTTTGACACTCTCAAGAGACTGGCTCTGCCCCCGCGGCTCAGCTGACCCTACAATGCGGGCTCTGCCCCTCCGGGCCAGGACCGGAGTTTTAAAATAAGATGGATGATGTGACGTTACTTGATCTTCTGGAGTGCCCCGTGTGCTTTGAAAAGCTCGACGTCACAGCCAAGGTCCTCCCTTGCCAGCACACCTTCTGCAAACCATGTCTCCAGAGGATTTTCAAGGCCCGCAAGGAGCTGAGGTGCCCCGAGTGCAGGACCCCGGTGTTTTGCAGCATCGAGGCGCTGCCGGCCAACCTGCTGCTTGTGCGTCTCCTGGACGGCGTGCGCTCGGGGCAGAGCTCCGGGAGAGGGGGCTCCTTCCGCCGGCCCGGCCTGCTGACCTTGCAGGACGGCAGGAAAAGCAGGACTAACCCCCGGAGTCTGCAGTCCAGCCCTTTCCGGCTCGTCCCTAATATCAGAATCCACATGGATGGGGTAAGAAGGATCTCACTTGTTCAGCTCTTGTCCACTTGGAGGTGGGATTTGTGTGTGCCAGCAGTTAGGGTTTATCTCTTTCAGTTACGATTCAAAAGAGGTGCTGCCAGGACCCCCAGAGGCAAGCTTCTGGGGGCAGTGGCCATTTGACTGCAGTCTGGTGGACTCCTGAGCCTATCTCATCCTTCCTGGGATTATTAGAATTGTTAAAGCTTCCCTGTTTCTTGTGCAGAAGGTAGGATATGGAAAGCCTGCCTGATTGTATTTTTGGTCTTTTGTGTCTGTTGTTCTGAGGCCAACCCCAGTGCACAGGAAAGGCATGAAGGATGGGAAAGAGAGGGACAACAAATTCAACTGCTTGTTGCTTTGGGGATCTCGGAGAAACTCCCAAATGTCAGGTTTTATTTGAATTTTACCCAATTCCATCTTCTCACCCCTACCCCGACCCTGGTTATAAAGTGCTGTTATGAGAATGTTCATTCACAGTCCATTCATAGCTATCAAGACGCTTGACCCCCGAAGGGCATGCAGGAGGGAAGGGTACCTGTGGGTGAGCTGAGAGATCGGAAAGGCTGGGCTGCAAAGTACAGCAGATGCGTCTTACTTTCCCAAATGAATAAAACACATAAAATGCACCTCAGCAGCTACAATAAAAACAAAACAAAACAAAAGGACCTCGTAGGGCCATATATGATATTAGCCAGCAATGCTTTTGGCGTTTGGACAGTGCGGGTCGCTCTGCCCCTCCGTGCAAGCGCACCCTGAGGACTCTCTGTCTGACCTGGCCGTGAGCTGTGTTGGGAGAAGCTGTGCAAGCCCACATCTCTCGGGAAGGATGTGGTCCTTGGGAGTCCCGCGGGATTATCTGCACTGTCACCCCAGGAGTCAGTGTGCCAAGGCGGACATGGCAAGCCAGAGCCCGAGCTGTTGGCATACTTAAAAAGTCAAAGCTGCGTTCTGTGAAGCCGTACCTAACGCGGGCTCTAATGCTGGCGGCAGCGCCCCAGGACTCCCTGCCACGAGGAGTAACAGTTGATGGGAGGGTCTATCGGATTCCTGCCCAACGGAAAGTAAGCTTATGATGTGCGTTCATTCAGAACAATTTTCTAAAATAATTCTTGCAACAGCTCACCCCTCCTTTGGTTTACTGCACCTTCAAGCTGCCCGTGCAGTAGGAAACATTCAAAAGCGAGAGCGGGAAGAAGCGGGCATTGGTGTGACTTCCTCACTGCAGACTTTTTATTGCCATTGTGCTTGTGTGTGTGAAACGCATTCCAGGAAAGGGCTTGGCGCCCCTCTTGAAGGTGCCCCATTACATCCAGCATCAGTCAGAATCCACGGGCTTCGAAGAGGCAGGGAGCGGGGAGGGGAGCAAACCTCTCTCGGATATGCCTTGTTTATAAAGAATCCAAGAGGGAATGGGCTCTCTCTCACGCCAGCAAACCTCCCTTTGAATTCCTAAGACCCAGCAACCTCTCCCCTCCCCCACTCGGCAGAGTCTGACTTGCCTCTTGGTAGAGTATCATTCCTCACTAAGAAAGTCTTGCCAGACTGGGAGGAGGCAAGTCCTTTATCGCCTTTGAATGTTTTCGTTCACGTTTTCATGTTTTGCTATATGGCTTAGAAAAGGTAGCTACGAATGGATCTCTAGCTCCCAAGTTTTTGAGCCCCGGAGGGTTCCAGGCCCCTCCTGGCAGAGGAGGATGTGGGGATACGTAAGAGACAGCCCTAAAGATACTGCATGTCCCTGGAACTCTTTCACAGGGACTTGTAACATCACACGAAGGTGCCAGGGATGGCCCATCCCCCAAGTCTCACTGGCCCATGTCCTGTCCGTGAGGCTGAAACACAGAACCGAGCCGCTGAGGGCTCCTGCTTTGGTGCAGATGTAAGAAAGCAGAGCCGGCGGCCACCCCCATCTTCCCCCACATTTCCTTCATTTTCTGAGCCTCCCTTTCTTGAAATGCCTCGTCTTACCCTTTAGCCTCTCTCAGTGGGGACATGAACAAACTCATTCCTGGATGTAAATGTTGCTGACATTCTGCAACCTGCTCTACTCCCGAAATACAGCTGTCTTTGCTGTGAGTGTGATAGCAAGCATGCGCCCCTCGGCACAGGGGACTGAGGGTTGTCCCAGCTGTCGCGCTCCGTTCTGAGAGTCAGCAGAGAGGACTTGCATCCTGAGTCAAATCCTCACCGAGGCGACCTGCCCCCGTGGCCTCAGTTTACCCAGTCTAGTCAACAGTGAATAATACGCACTACCCACCTTCCTCCACGAGACTCTGAAAATTATCTCTGCAATGTACTCATATCGCCTTAGAAAACATTCGCCATGTAATGCATGTGCACTATATAATATGCAAAGCATCATCATTATCATTAATTTAAACTTGCTGTATGACTTCGAGCAAGCCACGTAAGCTTGCTGGGTCTCAATTTAAATTTCTGTAAAATGGGAAAATGTAAAAACAGAGAGCCCCCACGAGGCTTAACTAATTAGTGTTTGCAAAGCACTCTGCGATCCTTAGATGAAAGGCTTGTGGAAGATCATTATCATTGTAAACATTATTATTGACAATTTATTGTGCCCTGCTGTCCATGAGACACTCTACAAAACGCAGAAGGAGCCAGAGCTCTTGCTGGAGGATATAATAGGTATTTTTATTGAACTTGAGTCTATGATGAGTCCCGGCCAGGAAAATACTAAGTGCAAAGTACTCCTCGAAGGGGGCATTAAACAGCCTGTTGTCGCAGGGTGCCATTTTGTAAAACACCTCTTTCAGAGGACTTGATGTTAACCTGGTGTTCTGAAAGAGTTCGTTTGACTTCCCGTCCATGAGCTTGTTAAGTCGGAAGCCTGCCTTGCTCGCATAGGCTCCTCTAATGAACAAGCTCATCGAGATCTTTCTGTTGGCTCGCAGAGGCCTGGCGCTCATCGTGCCGGCCACTATGCCAGGGTGGGGCCCGCTGTCACACATCACGAAGCCAGCCCAAGAGAGAGAAAATAGCCCATTGTGCCTACCTGTCTAAAACTCTCCCAAGCCTAATGTGTAAAAAGGAAACTTGAGAAATGGCTGTAGATGTCTACAGCATGCAATTATTTCAAGCCAGCAGGTAAGATCAACAACTCCTAGGGCAGGGGGGCCTGACTGTAAGTCCCACTGGGTCTTATTCCTTCCCAGACTACAGTCAAGCCAAAGGAACTTTGCAAGCCTTTGAGAAAGTTATGGGCTCCTGAATAGCTGGTCTCTTTTCCTCCTCACTCTGTTGCCCTTTAATAGGATTTCTGAATTAATATGGGTGGGAAAATAATGCAGCCAAGTATTCGCAAACTTTGGTTCGAAAAACATCAGTATTCAGTCTTGCTGCAGTGGTTATATAATTTGAGTTGCTGAAACCTCAGGGCCTCCAATTCTCCATCTGTAAATTGGAGGTAATAGTAATACCTGCTTCAGAAGGTTGTTGTGAGAAATAAATGAGATGATTCAAGTCAATTAGCTCTGAGCACAGTGACCGGCTCGGATTAAGTACTCAATAAATGTTACCTGTTATTGTTATTGAAGTGACTCAACACTTTCCACTCTAAATTACATGCCCTCTTTCACCCCCTTAATTGTTAATTAGGTGTTTCCCAGAGATGGTCCTTGGTACCCTAATTTCTGGCTTGTTTTGTCTCCAAATGACCCATGGCCATGATTCAGACGTGGGATTCTTTCTGGCAGTTGATTTTGGAAGGCAACTTGCTAGCCAACTTCACTTCCCCAAGTAGCAAGCTCAAAGGAACACCATGTGCAGGCCAAGAACCCGGTCCACTTCCCAGCATCCCCCATTCTTCATTAACTACTATTGTTCCTTTCCCCCGGTATCGCACCATCCCCAACACAATCGTTGCCGCCCTGGGTCCTGCAGGGCCGGACTTTCTCCCTTCTCTGCCAGCCACACACATTCCTGTCTCACTCGCCCTATCTCAGCGAGAACACACCTGCCACCTCCAGCACACAGACCAGGTGGCTGTGTCCCAGAAACTTTTTCAGCTGGTGTTGCAAGCAACTGAGGGGGAGAAAATGAGGTCAGAAAGCACATGGGGGAATTGAGGCCGGGTAGAAACCAGAAGGCATCCAGCCTCATTTCTTAGTCTCAGCTGCTGTGTCCGGTGACAGAGCTGTGACACAAACAGTGCTTTTTGCTAAATTTGCAAGGGGTTTTGAAACCATCCCAAGCACCTGAAAACAGCAGGCAGGTGCCACCTGGGTCCAGCGAGGACCACAGGGGGCAGGAGGAGGAAGGCCTAAGGGCAGGCCCAGGGGTTGAGAAGTCAGGAGACACAGATGGTTCTCCAGCTTCACACATGTTTGCAAACCTTTTTGAAAACCACGTGGCCCCAGACGGGCTCGTGACGTACCTCCTTCCCAGTGACAGTTCCCTCCCTTTTATCCCTTACTATGGTGTTTAAAGATTGCAGTCAAATGGAGTTGGGTTTGTGCTGGGATTCAACTATTCGTTAGCTGTGAGACCATAGGCAAGTCACTTAAGCTCTCTGACCTTCAGTTTCCAGAGTTGTATAATGGAGATCACAATGGCTACATATATTGTAAGGCTATTACACAATTAAATGAGACAATGTCTGTAAAAAACATAGTACAGGTGCCTGGTACATAATAGATGCTAGTAAATGTCAACAACAGCAAATAACAAAACAATAACAATAGAGGAGAAAGTCTGCTGGCATTGGGTGTGGAGTTCTTTGCACCCACATAGAAATATGCAGAGGCCTCCATTAAAAAATTAAGGAAAGGGAATAGCAAAAGTAAAGGGAGTTCTCAAGAAGACAAAAGTACGGTGATGGAAAATAGTGGTTTTCCGTGGTTGCCGGGGGTTGTGGGTTGGGAGAGGATGTGATATAAAGGGATAGCATACGGGAGATTGTAGGGTGATGGAACGATTCCGTATCTTAACTGTGGCGGCAGTGAAACGAAGCTATATATATGTGTTAAAATTCA